TTTAATATTTTTTAATATTTTTTAATATTTTTTAATATTATTATATATATTAATATTAGTATTAATATTAATAAATCATATATCTTTTAAAAATTTAGAACTTAAATTATCTTACCTTTGTTATATAATCGTAGAACTAATTTTTGAGAATTCGTTACTTATTTAATGAAACAATTTTCATACTTTATACTTTTTGTTTTCTATACTTATGTACTGACACTACATAATAGGTTTTAACATCAATATATCAATGATATATATATATATATATTTGTATGTATATATATATATGTGTATATATATATATCTCACTCTAAATAGATTTTTTTTATGTGTTAATCATAAGTTGGCAACAGTTTCTGCTAGACACTTCTGTTACTTATTGAATACAGAACTGTAAAAAATATTCTGTCAGATGTATTTGAGTATGTCCAACTAAATTTTGTATATTACTTACAATGTAAGAAAATGTAGCAATAATAATAAGAATTTTAAGCATAATTTTGAAACATGAGAAGTTTCAAATAGGTTAGAAACGTTGAAAATTTGAAACTTGAATGTTTCAAACAAAAAAAGAGTGATAATATTTTAAAACAAAATGGTAATGCAAAAGTGTAAAACATTTACTCGTGTAAGAGAATAATACCATAGTATTATGTTATATTGTATAATATAAAATTTCCAAAATGATGCATTATACACCTTGGATCCATCATCAAGCGATGTTGGATAATCATCAGTGTTATACACCATATATGACTGCTGTGCCATCCTATCCACATAATAATCATGAGCAACAACATATTACAGAAGAAGAGAGTGAACAAACTGGAGATGAAACTCATGATACTATGACTTCTGCTACATCAGGAGAGCGGAGTTCTAGTGCTGATATATTCAGATTAGAATTTGCAGCAGCTCAATGGTCTAAACTAGTCTCAAATGCAGAAGGCCTTTTTACTAAGCTTATGACAAGTAATATTTTACCTCATACAGAACAAGATCAAATTGAACAATGGCTCTGTATGAAGCAAGAATATGAAGAATGCATTGGTAGTGATGATAATGGTAGCTTGCATGGTTACACAGAAAATGCAAGAAGATCATTGGAAAGAATAGAAGAAGTAACTGAAACTGATGAAAAAACAGACGAATCTATTCATCAAATGGAAAGAAAGATCGATATAAATTGTTCATCTTGTTCAGAGAGCGAATTGTCTGAAACTAATGACGACGACGATGAAGAGGAAGAAGAGCACAGTGATGTTAGTTCAGAAAATCCAGATTTTTTAGAAAAACTAGATGAATGTATGAATAAACTTAAGATAGAAACAGATAAAATAGTAGATTCTAAAAGAGATGAATTCAGAGAAACAAATATAGAAATTATGCCATCCATTACAAAATCTATAAATAGTAACAATAATTATGTCCCTATAGCTAAACCTATTCCGCTTAGAAATCCAAATTCCAGGAGGAATTCAATGCTTCCTGGTTCTGAAATGTGTAATGAAGTATTAGCCTTTAATGACAGCCTCAAACCTAACCAAAATCAAATGTTGGATAATAAAACGTTAACGTTTACTAGTATAAAAACCTTAGACAATCGTAAGCCTGAAACAATTATCAATGAAAACATTGCAGTTCATAATGATAATTCACCAGATTTATTAATTGATGCGTTGAAAACAACAGAAGTACCAGAGCCTATAAAAGAACTAAAAACTTTGACATTAAATAATGAAGCAAAACAGACTCAAGTGAAAAAGATTCAATCAGATTTAGATGGAGCTCACAAACGTATAGAAGAACTACAAATGACTATTAAAATCAAAGAAAAATTCATTGCAGATATGATAAAAAATTCAGATGCACGTGCTAGCGCAAAACAAAAATTTCAGCGCAAATGGAGTAAATTAGAAGAAGAATACTATAATACAAGAAGTCAATTGGCTCAAGCGGAAAACGCTTCCATCTATAAAGATTTAGAAGAAAAATCTGCACATAAAAAGGAAATTGAATTATATAAAAACATGGCCATCCATTATGAGAAAAGATTAATGGATATCGAAATGATAAAACAAATTGCAGGGGATTCTGCTAAGAAAGTATTAGAACTTGAGAGTTCTTTGAACACTTCTAAAAAGCAAATGGAGAAATTGAAAAAACAATTAAAAAAAGAGGAGGAACGTAAAAAACAATTAGAAGAGGAATTAGCAGACGATCAGAGAAAGATCCGTGATCTCGAGGAGAAGTATAATTTAACTGCTTCTAAACTGAAAGAGATGCAATCAGAAAGTGAGGATGAAAAAAATAATAGTAAATCAAAAACCGATTACTCTGATAAGAAAAAAAATTTATTAGATGTAAGTGCAAGAATATCGCATCTTGATCACGTTTTAAAAGAAAAATCCATGGATTTGGAGAGAACAGCAGACATAGACGAAAAAGAAGCTCTACGTCATGAAATTCGAAACTTGAGACGCACTCGAGATTGTTTGGTAGATGAAAAATGCGATCTAGATGAAAAGTTCCAAAAGGAGAAAACATTATCTACAGTAGAAGAGCGAAAATTATTAGAATGTGGAGAAACTATTGAGGCGATTGATGCTATGATTGAACATAAAAATGAGATGATTTGTGGACGAAAGGGATTCGATGAAAATCAATCGCAACGTGAGAAAGGGGAAAGAATGTTAATGGAAAGATTGTCAAAACTTTCAGACGGCGAAATGAGGACATTATTCTATAAGTATTTTTTAAAAGTAATTGATTTAAAAGAGAGTTCAAAAAATCTGGAAGTTCAGACAGCTGAATTAGAAAGTCATATAGAGACTCAAGAATGGCAGATACAGACATTGACAAATGCCCTAAAACAGACCAAATTAGAAGCAGAGAGAAGAATAGTCCTTATGCAAAGAGAACATGAGGAGAAATTGCACCTCATGTTCAGACATTTTGCAGAAGAAACTAGTAGTTCCGGTCATGAAAGACTGGATAAAGATTCTGAACTTGCGAAATATAAGCGTGAAAATAGAGCTTTGAGGAAACGACTAGCGGATGTCGAAGCTCTTTTGAAAGTTGCAACACCGCCACGTGCAGCTAGTCCAGCGAAAATGTCGCAGCAAGGTTTAAAACAAATTGCACCGAATAGTCGACCGACAACCAAAGTAACTAGGCAGCGGAATAAATTGATAATACAAAAAACTACCGACTGCGATAAAAAAAAGAAATGAATTTTTCTAAGGAAAATAGTTCTTTCTCTGTTCTTTCACGGTTAGCATTTATTTTTTACTCAATGTTGTTTATCTTTTGTACAGTATTTAGCTATTATGTTATTAACTTAATTGAACATACAAACGCTCATTTTTTTTTAAACGTATATTTTTTATCATTTAAAAATGCACCCGAATATTTGTATTTTATATCACGAATAATCATTTACAGATTTTCAAAAAGAAAATTTCACAATATCAATAACTTAATCGAATTAAGACAGTGAATGCGATTGCATGTTTTCTTAATCTTTCCCTCGTTCAATTAGTAATCAATATTCATTATATAATCATAAAATAAATTCAAATTATGGTATACTCATTAAATCAAGAATATTGAACTTCAATCAAAATAGCATATGCATGTTTCCCAGATCTCAATAAAGAAACTAAGTATTGCATTTAAATATGATAAATACAATAGTATTTATGTTCTAAAAAAAATAAAATCCGAATTATTAATAATAATTACAATACTTATTGTATTAAATATAGCATAAATATTTGACATTACATCATTGTATGTAATGTTAGTAGTTTCGTTTATTATAATATGGATAAATGCATTTCACACTTAGTAGTGTAAAAATAGGCATGATACTAAATAATTTATATAAAATTATGCTCACTGACTTCCAATATATTATTTATTGAAATTTTGTAAATATATTGATAATACATTAAATACAATATTTAACCCTTTGGGCCCCTACGAAAATATCAATGAATAATTCATTTCTGATACATTATAAAATCATGAAATTTCCATATATGAAAAATATATGAAAGTAATTATTATGGCCAAAAGGATTAATATCCTTTACACTTTCACAAAATGAATGCAGTGAATAAATCGACTATTGAAAACGAAATGTGTTTCTTATTTTACGATTAAGCTATATGATGTGAATTCAGGGAAAAAAGAAACTAAACAAATTTTATCGTCTGAGAAAGAATCTTTGAATTCACATCGTGTCGAAGTAATTATCCGTAACATCTCGTAGAATCGATCAAGCGAACTTGAAATAGTTGCGACGCAGCATTGTTTTACATTCACAATTTGAGAACCATAGTAAAATAAATGACTTGATCCTTTTATTTTATACAATATGTTGCATAAATTTATTAAACAAAATTAAATTAAAAAGTTCGTTTTGAATAAATTGTTCACAAGATATCAAATAATGATAAAATCATATAAAACGTGGTTTCCGTAGTGTAGTGGTTATCACGTGTGCTTCACACGCACAAGGTCCCCGGTTCGATCCCGGGCGGAAACATGTGTGGTTTATTTTTCATTTTTTTATTGAAAAAATTTATGTTATCATATTATTATACCGTAAAAAATTTATGTTATCATATTATTATGCCATAAGATTAACTTTTTCGCTTTTTTTAATATTTTATTCTTCATTTCATAAATTAATGTTTTTTATATACACATTAAAAAAATGGCAATGTAAATATAATAATACATGCCTATTACATATTATATTTCATTAAATTCGAATTTATTATATAAATATCTAAAAATGAAACCATTTTATTTTTTTATACATATCATTTATCAGGAAATATTATAATGTCTGATATTATAATATTATTTAATGTTATTACGATATTATTTTAATATATTTCTATAATATTTTACAACTATAAATATAAATATAAACATAACCTAGACAAAATTCAGTTTTTGTAATTTGTAAGCAAATGTTACCATGTGTCAGGATGGCCGAGCGGTCTAAGGCGCCAGACTCAAGGTTCTTTACCTTATCAGTAGTCAAATATCTGATTCTAATGTGTTTTCTGGTCTCCTCTGGAGGCGTGGGTTCGAATCCCACTCCTGACAAATTTTTTTATATTTTCGACAAACTTTTGAGATAATAAATAACAGATATTTCAACTTTTTATAAAATTACTTTCCAAACTCTCTCATCATGGACAGATCGAATGTCTCAAGTTCGATTCTCGGTGAAATGATAATTTTTTTTTATTTAATAAAATTAAATAAATAATTTGTTAATCGTCCATAGATCATTGTACAAACAAACAGCGAAACAAATACAATTAATTGTTACAAAATTCATAATTATTATCGTTTCACAATGACGTACGTTGCAATGATCCTTTTATATGATCCTTTATATTTTAAATCACGAATTAAATGAAATATTGTAAAATTATTTTTTTAAAAATTAGTTTTTAATAGTATGAAAAATATTTGTTATATGTTTACATATTTGTTGAAAACATACCTCAAAAACTAAAAGAGTCCGGGGTAATTATATGTATAGAAAAAAGTTGTATACAAACATTGAATTTTAAAACACATTCAAAAGATTATCTAAGTCATCCGTAATCTAAATAATTAGCATTTGTTTAGACTAAACACACTACAAAATTATATAACAGAAAATTCTGAAGAAACAAACGAAAGACAAATATAGACCATCTTATACACACATCCCCGCTTCCTGGAAGGAGAACGTAGTTTATTATTTATTAGTTTTAAAATATTATCACCAATCGTCGCCAAATTGTCACTTTTGCAATAATTATTCTAGTGAATATATCGAATCAACGTGAGAGTATACGAAGTGATTATCAAAACTATCTAGCTATCCTTTCATCATCCATAATATCATTCGACGATAATTTTCTTACATACACGTATGTAACTATTATAATTGTTATACTAATATTGACTAGTGATCCTTTTAATAAACAAAAACAGTTGGAAAATCCGGTATGGTCTAGTGGCTAGGATACCTGGCTCTCACCCAGGAGGCTCGGGTTCGATTCCCGGTACCGGAATTTATTTTTTTTCATATTTTACAAAATACAATTGATAAGAAATGAAAAAAAAAATATTGAAAAATCGATGGTAATGGTAATGTTTATATTCTCACAATTTTACTTCTTTCACGAGTGGAATAATGCATCCAAAAAATGCAAATGCACTTTTTTCAGAATAAAATTGCATATTTATTTTTTTATATCACTTTGTCGAAACATATTTCTGCATAAAAAGATCTTCGGTTATCTGGGATACAATATTTAAAAACTCAACATTTTGCGAGATATTTTTTAATAAATTAATATTTGCTTACATATCTTATAATGTTTGAATGTTTCACATCATGTGTGACTTCATATATCGTTTCTTTATATTTTTCACAACCAAATTAATCCTAAAATGTATTTACTTATTTGCACCTCTTTGAAATTGCAGTGGTCCATGTACGTTCACTATGCCTATTGAATATTCCATTATTCGTAAATGTACTTTTGTCTGTACATAAAATTTTTCGAAAAAAAATTTGGTACATTTTCTACTTTAAAAAAATTGACAAATCACATGCGTTATCTTCTGCGTGTGTAGCGTGACGAGATCGTGTTTGATAAGTGGACTGTATGTGTGTTCGCGTGCTGAAATATCAGGGGTTTTCCCCTCGTGGTAGTTTTGTGTCGCGAGAGAGTGAATCTTATTGCTCGGAAGTCAAACTAATTCTAACTTGCAAGCCGAAGGAAAGCGCGGACGCTCTCTCGGTTCCCCTTTCTTCGGCTTCGGAAAATCGCAGGCCCAGGGTGGGCACGAAGGGCGGATGCCCGTTGCCGTCTTGGGTAATTTCGCGGGCCCGTGTTTCGCACGTGTTCGGGAAAGTTGGTGCCATGCTTCAATCCATGGTCGAGGGCCTTGTCTGCTTAGAACAAAGCTCAGCTAGATGGCCAGGGTTTTCTGGCGACACAGGCCTGCTAAGCGCACTTAAAAACACATAAACTTTCCCTAACGTGCCTGCACCCAGACCGTGGGTATTGCAGCATGGAAACTCTTCCGAACAGTCCCAGAAAAAACAATATTCACAAAAGTTTTGTGATTTTTAAATTCTTTGTCTTGTTGAAGCTTGTGGATTAAAATCGACATATATCGTTATTTGTAATCAGTTTTTATATATCTCTCTTATTGTCAGGTTTTAAAAAAGCTTCATATTCTCGTAAATTATGTTCAAAATTATGGAAGTACTTACTGTCTTCGATTGAAGTACGTATTATTGCATGTACAATATATATCTTATTGTTAGTAGCATTCATAGAATTTTTGTTGCAATAAAAGAAGGAAACATATAAACTTTTTTACTATTAGTAAGTGATATCGGTTTCTGTATGAAATTTAACTTGTCGTGACGATAGATCGTCAATAACTGATAAAATTTTGTTGATCATAAATATTCCTGCACTCAAAAAATCGTATGTTGTTGATCGTTGACAGATCTTACAATAAATAACGTGGAATGTCTTTCACGAAACATTCCACTCATCAAAAATTGTACCCTAATATCTTTTTACGCGCAATATTTCGACAAATTGATATAAGCAAAAATAAATGTATAATTCCATTTTTTTAAAGAAAAAGTACATTTGCATTTTTTTATGCATCGTTCTCAATACTTTTGAGAAGTTTTGTTTCATTAGCGTGACGCACCTTATATTATTATATATATTATTTATTTCTATTATTATATTCGTTTCATTACTTTTTAAAATTATTATTGGTGCATAATAGATTCGAAACAGAAATCGTATATACAATATTATCCACTCGGTTCTTTTACTATCGGTTGACGCTATTGTCACTCTTGCTTGATGACGTTATCGGAGCAAGAATACATTAACTATCGTGACCGTGACTGTTTCGGTCGCAATACATAATGCAATTGTTGCACTGCAACTCTTTTCTCTGTCACTATTCTTTCGTGCAAAATACATAGTGAACGTACTTCTGCCCGCCGATTGGTACGCAATTACTGCCACTTTTATCGACATTCGCGGAAGTGACTTGGGGACCTGACACGTGCACCACGATCGAGTCTGTAATTCCGAAAATCGGCCGCAATTTCCTCAAGAGGTACCGTGTCAGATTGATTGAAAATAACTCGTCATAACGCGCTAGAGTAAAGTACTATGCAACGAATTGTACTCGTACGATAGGGACACGACTTGGTGACTTTGCCAACGAAAAAACATTTTTATCCTTCAAGTCGTAGAGAGACAACTTACAACGTTGAGATGACCCAACAACATGGCCACAAATGGATGAAGTCGTATCGAAAATTGATCGATTCTCAGATTAGCTATTTGAAGTGAGAATCATGATAGTAAATTTGTCATTCGTGTATACGATTTCTCGAACGGTATAACTGTTATGAAGGATATTAAAATTACATATAGGAAATTTATCAGTTGTTATTTTTTATCAATTTACGAGGTGATATACTTATATTAACAAGTGCACCCTTTTTTGTTCATAGGTACAGTGGTTTTGGAAGCATTGACTCAGGAAGCTCGGCGTTTTTAACCAGTGCCTACTTTGTGTACAAAATATGGATATTGACAACGATGTACATCTTCGCGATCACTGTTTTTGCGGATATTTACGTGAACAGAGACAACTTGTCGATAAGCACCGACGGCGGTTGTATTTTTGCTGGAATTTTCGTCATCATATACAAGGCGATGAACTACCAATTTCGTGAAAAAAGAATAAGAATACTGTTGGACGACATATTGAAATGTATCGATAATCTCTGCGAATTTTCCGGTGAGTACAAGTAACACGTTTTTTCAAGAAAAATTATATGCTATTACTAGATTGCGAATATTTATGTAAACTCATATTTTTAGTAAAGGAATCTGAGCAGAGATTTCTTACTAAATTATATAATGACTTGTGTGCATTCTCAAATTTCCTATAATCATAGAAAAATTTGCAATATAATTATCACATGACACGCTATACATTATGTTGTGATACAACTCCAAGGGTTTTTATCGGATTGTTTTCGGAGAAATAGAATACAAAAATAGTTTTGTACACCGCACTATTTAATACGATCGTTTTACTCACTCTCACTTGTATGTGATGACTGCTCGATAACGTAACTGTATTCATTAACTATAATTTAGGAACTAATTAGTGCACGTAGTTTTTGTGCATCTACACATTCTCTCTATGATATTTTTCATTATATTAAATCCAAATAGATTCCACAAAAAGTCTCAGGACATATTTGTCTAATCGTGTAAATGAAATTTTTCATGATCACTAATTCTTTGAAACGTGTCATTAATTCTTTGAAATTGACATCTATAGCTATTGGATAATAATGCTCATCATGTGAGTGTATTATGAGTGGCTTTTTTATTTTTTTTTTCCTTCCAATATTTCATATTGGTTAGTCAAAATTGAAAGAGTATGGTGAAATGATTTGAATGATATAAGAAACATTAAAACAATAGAATATTAGATTGACCGGAAAGTTTTTTTCATTTTTACATTGCTGTATTTGATCATATGCGAATATATTACAAGCAGTTGATTGTCAGTTGATTTATCAGTATATCATTGGATGTAAAAATTGCTTAGTTGTGCTTATATATGTATCATGTGTACAGTGTAGTCTGATATGTAACATAACACGCAGTAGAATATATTATAATGTTATCGAAACAATATATAATAGAAATGCAAAGTAGAAAAAAGAATTATTTACGAGATAACGATAAAGAAAAATGAAGAATTTATGAAGTTTTATAACTTCATAAAGTTCTGCTTGGAGTCAAACTTTAAATTAAAAAAGAATAATAATAACTTTTTAGTCAACTTAGTTAATATTTCAGTCAATAATCCACTCATTTGTCAACATTCACACAAAATAGTTATTAATGTTTACATGTAGTTACTCTGCTACGCTCATCATCAAAGATTCGTCAGCATTTCTCGTAACTAATCATTTAGTACTCAGTTGGAATATATATAGATTCCATATATAGCACAGAGACACTGATTTA